AAACCAGTTTTATTAAGTAAAGAACTTGTGTCGCTAAAGTTTCGTCGGAACGAAGTTACGGAAAGTTAATTAACAAACGGAGACGTAACAAATTGGTGTCAGAAGTGGGATAGAAAAAAAAAGAAGAAGCTTAAGTTTCGTCGGAACGAAGTTACGGAAAGTTAATTAACAAACGGGGACGTAACAATATACACACACACACACACACACACATATATATACATAACTCTTGATTTTATGAAAAAAGTGGTTAGGAATAACACAAAAATAATGTTCTTTGCAGTTAAATCTTTTATTTTACACATACCCATTAAAATCCCTTACAATTACAAGTTCATTTTTAATGTAACTTTAAGTCTTTTTTTTTTTTCTTAGGCAAACCTAAGTTATATACAATTCTACACAATAAAAACACTAATTTTGTTTTAACTGATCCTTTGTTTTATGTCTAAGCATTAAAACTAATTACATCCTTTTTTACATTTATAACAGCTAAATCAATGGATCAGCTTCTTTCAACCTGGAAATTTAAATTTCACTATCACTAATAAACAGTGGTTGTTTCATGACTTAAATCTATCATTAATAGTAGGAAGAGGCACTAATAAATGTTTTTTTTTATGAGTCAATAGAGTAATTGAAAACAGTTTGATTGATTATTTTTTACTAACAAAACTTTTCTTCCTTCTATTTGGTCATAAAAAAGCTTTTCTTTAAAATAATATGTTGATGAAAATGAATCACAAGAATTTCAGCATAAAATTTTTCATGAATAAAAGTGAACACAAAACAGTAATTGACCTGTACATGTATTGTTGCCATTTTGAATAAAACAGAAAATGAGACAGAAAATACACAATTTCAAGTGCACAGAATAAAAGTACACTTCCATTTGCACACACACACACACACACACATAAATATCTTGGTAGTTTGAAGTCAAGAATATTTTACCTGTTACTTGGACAAGACTTCATACTTAAATTGCTTTTTTCTCTTGTTCTGTTCCATGATGAGTTTTTATGTTTAATTGAAGGTGCCAACCTTATTTCTTCATTTTTCTAAAAGAAACAGTAAAACTTTGGAATACTTTATCATTAATATACATTTTCTTCCTGTAAGGTTTGTTTAAAGTGTAAATATAAAATGATTTTAAAGAAGCATTTATCCAAAATCAAGTGACCTATTGGTTGATCGTGCATATAAATTTATAAGTTGCACCATGGTCTTACCTTGACTTTAGGCATGGTGAGAAGCAGATGGCCAGTAGTTTGGGACCTTTGAGCAATTGATGCTCCAGGTCGAACTTCTTCTTGAAGAACTAACTGAAACACCTTGCCTCGAATTTTAACCCGAACATAGTGAGGTTGTATGTCAATGTCTATTAAAGAGGTGTCCAGATATCTAAGAGATTCATATAGCTTGGTATGAAATATCATTTACATTTTTACTAACACACTTCTGAATAAATTATCTGAAAAGTTTCATCATAATGTATAATTACTATTTTTCACAAACGATAGAAACTGCAAACAAAGTTGACTGAATCATGTGATTACAGGAAAGATATGCACAAGGAAAAATCATTCTATATATTTTGTTTTCATATAAAAGAAAATCTAATTTAATTCACAACTTCAATAATGCATATCCAAATTGTTTTTATATTCAGCTGAGGATATTTTTGTTTGATAAGAGTTTTAGCTCTGAAAATTATTTTACAATGATTTTTTTCTTATTGGGATATATATATATTATTCTAGAAACTGAGATAAATATAATAAAAGTACAGTTAAGTAAAGAACTACATTTGCAATATGATGTCCCAATTAGCAAGAGTGGGTATAAGATAATTACAGAGTTAATTAAGTTGAATGGAATTTCTAAATAAACAAAACATTTTCATCAAGTAAAATGAATCAATATCTGAATAAGGATGATTTATCCCTATCTCTATTACTACAACTCTTACTAAACTCTAGCTGTCATTATCTGTACCATCTGTTACTTCAAGAAGTAATATATTGTTACGACAGCGGAGGTCACGTGACGCTAGTAACGCGTCATATTCTCGAACCTTCCTGAATGCTCTAGCGTTTACTAGATATGGAGTAGTCTTGTATATATAAGACGGTCACAACGTGACGGCAACAATAATGAGTAATTGAACTGCGGACAGAGAGAGAATATTGTTGGGCACATGAGACGTTCGTTGTGAGTTATAGCGTTTGTTATACCGCGACTGTTGAAATTAAGTTATTTCAAAGTTGTATTCAGAAAGAATAAACCAGTTTTATTTAAGAAAGGACTTGTATCGGTAAAGTTTCTTCAGAAAGAATTTTTACGGAAAATTAACTAACGAACGGAGACGCAACAAACTGATGTCAGAGAGTGGGACAGAAAATAAAAATAAATAATGGAAACAAGAAGCGACAACTCAAACTACAGCTTAGCAGATTTAATGGCAGCAATACAAGAACGGCAAAAGAAACAAGAAGCACGAGAAAATAAACAAGAATAGAGACAACAATAGTTGCAAGAAAACCTGCAACAATGGCAGCTCGACCAGCACAACAAACAAGAGAGATTACAGCAGTTGTTGAAGGAAAAAGAAAAGAAACACGAAGAACGAGAAAAAAAACAAGAAGAGATACTACAGCAGTGGTTGGAGGAGAAAAAAAATAAACAAGAAGAGAAATTACAGCAGTTGTTGAAGGAAAAAGAAAAGAAACAAGAAGAGAAATTACAGAAGTTGTTGGAGGGGAAAGAAAAGAAACAAGAAGAACGAGAAAAGAAACAAGAAGAAAGATTACAGCAGTGGGAAGAAAACCTGCAACAGTGGCAGCTTGAATAGCAAAATAAACAAGAAGAGAGATTACAACAGTTATTGGAGGAGAAAGAACATAAACAAGAAGAGAGACTACAGCAGTGGCAACTGGAACAAGAAAGGAAACAAGAAGTACAAATGGAAAACATTAGTAAATTTAAAAGCAAATTAAATACATTAAAGGATGATTTATTGTCTTTTACACAAGGAGGATACATAAACTATTGACTTAATCAGCCCCAGACAACGGCAAGCCCCTTCCAGACCCCGCAGCTGAAACCTAATGCAGACATCTTCAGTCCTGTTAGAACTCACATCCCAGATATGAATGTCAGTAATAGGAGTGATCCAGTACGAAGGAAGCCACAGGAATTCGATGGGAAGGCACCTTGGGAAGCATATAGAGCACAATTTGAGCTACTGGCAGGGATGAACAGATGGACAGAGGAACAGAAAGCAGTATATCTGGCAACGAGTTGACATCAGCCGACAGACACAACTATAGAGC